ACACCATTTTTTTACATGAGCTTTATTATATTTCACTTATTTAATTTTATAACGTTTTTTTATACAAAATTTGTTTTTGTTTTTTGTTGTTGCTGTGTGGCCATTCTGTATTTATCTTTTAAGTTTGATGTTCAAATATGTTTTTTTTTAGAATAGAAAGTAGGTAAGAATGGCCTTACGTAGGCCATAGTTGGGAGACCCCAGTTCTAAACTAACAGCGATACATACCAAATAAGATGAGAAAGTTGAATGCATAAAAATATCTTGCAATTTCTTGATAAATAAATATGTATTTTTTACAAAAAAACATATGATGAGTCCAATTCGGGTTACACCTGTTGGGGGCCTTAGCATCAGAGCCTTTTTAGACTATTTAAACATGATAAATGGTGAAAGATGCGAAGATGTGCTTGAAAAGATTGGATTTATACTTCTAAAGTGTACCTTTCTCTCATTTTATTAAATAAAAAAAACGTTATAAAGTTAAATAAGTGAAGTATAATAAAGCCTGTGAAAAAAAATGTTTAAAATAAGTTCTAGGCTTTTCCAAAAGTTTAATATTCTTAAGTAACCTGCAAAGGGGGATGAAAACTACGAATTTTATCCTATGTAGATACCACCTCAATATATAACCTCTAAATGTGTATAAATAGATAAAATAAAATATGATATATTTTTTTTAAATTATATTACACAAGCCTTAGAAAAAATATCTACATATTGCAAGTGTCAGTGCAAAATGTCGTATGCATAAATTTAGAGTTTTTTTATAAAAGAGCATAAAACTGATTATTTCTTTATGATTTATTAGTATAATTTCATATTTTATTTTCCTATACTATTTTCTATAGTAGCAGACTATATATTGCAGTTGCAGACAAAATGTCACCTTTATCACAAATAGAATTTACATAGAAAATTGTTACATACAACCTTTTGCACTAACAGTAGCGATATATATAAACTAAGTCCTCAATTATGTTTTAAAAATATCAAATAAGAAATTTCTAAAATAAAGTTCATACCAAACCACAGACGCCCTGTGTTATCACATTTTCCATCATTGATCCTATTAGCTTCGGAGTCATTGGTGAGCTGATGGAGCAGTTCCACTGATTCAGTTTTGTCTGAAGTTCCATCCCATTTTATTAAATAGAGTTTGATGCCAGAACCGACGACATATTGTCCTTTAGATCCTTCTACCGGAATGATAAATGAAGCTAAAGGAACATCTAGAAAAAATAAAAGCATAACCTTAAGTATCCAAAAAGTTCATAGAAATGTAATTAATGGGATTTTGTACTTACCTAGCTTCACAATGAACGCTTTGTTGGCTTGGGGGTCATATCTTATAAGTTGTGAACCAGAAATATCAATGAGGTAAAGTGACTGTGTAGCGATATCCCAATGGGGGCCTTCTCCTAAAACTACAGATGGGATAGGAAGTTTTTCTACTTTTGGGCTCATCTTTCTGAAAAATAATTAAAAAACATTTTTAATAATAATTAGAAAGTGATTTATTTTCAAGCAATTATTTAATGTAATTAAACTGTTCAAGAGTTTTAGATCATTATTCTTTTAAGTAGTAATAAAAAATAAAAAAACACAAAAATATAAAATATACCAACCCAGAAATATGTTTCCAAATAATAAATTGACTTTTATCTTAAAAAGAATCAAATTATTTTTTTAAAACTAAACATATCTTATGATACGCTATTCCAAAAAATAGCCAGTGTAAAATATAAAGCAATACATGGAGATATTTCATGGATCAAAATAATTGAATGAATGCCAAAAATCAACTCTTACAAACTTGGTAGGATTAATTGGCGAGGTTTTAAATTTTATACCAACCACATGATAAAAGCATGTTGCATAAAGTGATGATAAAATTCATAGGTGCCTTAAAAATAATAAATAAAATTTAAAATATTATAAACTAACAAATGAAAATTTAAAAAAGGACCAACTACCATTTACAGATAACAAGTGAATAAGCACAAAATCAATTAACGGTTTTAGTTGCTATCTTAAACTAACAGGCAAACCAACAGGGGGGTGTGACTGAACAAATATTTAAACACAAATCTTACATTAGCAATAAAACAAATAAACATAATTACAAATTAAACAGAAGGGTGTGACCTTGTAAAAAGGAAGAAATATTCTAGAAATTTAATTTAAAAAAAAAAACAAAGAAGTTTACCAAGGACTCATGCAAAATGATCAAAAAATTGAATGCTTATCATCATTAAAAAGATAAAGCATGTTTATTTTTTTGATCTTTTATCATCTCAAGTATAAAACTAATAATATCGCATTCCTGGAAGGTGAATGATAACATCAGAAAGCAATAATTCATCATATTATTTTTCTAAAACTGTTCTAATTAATGGTATATATTTTTTGTATGTATTCACTAGAGACACAATTATTTTATAAATGTCTCAGAATTACTAAATGAAAATAAAATATTTTTTCTGAACCAGAGATGCCCAGAAAGGGGTTGCATGGCAAATGTTGTACCATCAAAATTTATACTTCAATATAAATAAACAATATCAACTCTATATAATTCTGCTTTCCTTTGCATTTATTTTAAGGAGTGAAAAACAATAAAATTTCTTGGAAAAGGGGACATAAGCCATCAACATTGGAGAGGATAGGCATCTCATAGCTGTTTATAAACAATATTTTACATAAATACCATGTTCGAAAGTTTTCATAATTGTTTTATTACCATAAACAGTCTAACATTTTTTATTTATTCATTTTTATATTTGTTAGCTATTAAACAATGGACTACTATCTTCTGCACCAGGGTTTGAGTCCAACTGTAGCATATAATTGTTATTTTATTTAATCAGTTGTGTAACCTTTTTTTTTTTAGGCTTGAGAGATTTGTGAATGGATCCTGCTCAGAGTGTCAGCCAGAAATAAGTGACTCACTCCCAAGATTTGAAGAACAAATTACTCTGAAGTGGGCACAAGGCTTAATTCTTAAAAAAAAGTGAGGATATTATATTCTTTTATGCACAAAATAAAGTTAAAAAATATATATAATTATTTATTAGCAGCCATCTGAAGCTAAGTATGAAAATTTCAGCAGACAACTAAGAAACCAGCCTGCAAAACTACATACTTTCAATCAAAAACATCAAGGCTAATCACAAATTTGGGCTAAGATAAAAAAATATACCATTGAAACCACCATGTACATAATAAAAATTATTCAAAATACGGAAACGATATAAATACCAATAACTAATCTAAAAATGTGGAAAAGGAGTAAGCTAAAAGGTCTCTGAGACTAAAATATTTTTGAAATTCAAGTTAGGATTATTTATTGATCTTTTCTGATATCCGACATGCCAATGAAAAAATAAACATTTAAAAAAATTCTCACCTACGGGAAGTAACAAAATATATAACAAATAAATTTTTATATATATCTATCAATACTGTTTTATGTATGTATTTTATTTTTGAACAAGTAATAGTAAACTATAACAATTTTATTCCAAAAAAAATGAATTAAACATTATAATTGATGGACTGAAATTGAGAAAATAATTCAAGGAAATTTCTCACAGGAGAATATCTACATCAATTACATAAATTAATTTAGAGAATGGCATAGAAAAAGCAAGGAAATCAAAAATAATACTAGAAATATATTTTTTAAAAGTATTTCTGATTCAAAATCAGCATTATAATAATTAATTAAGAATAAATTTTAGAAATTTTGACAGTATACTATTCAACAAATAATTTTAAATACCATAATTGATAAATATAAAGATCATCATAATCCATTTTTAAACTTAATATACTTTTTAACAGTACTTAATTTTGGAATGTGAATGAAATATTAAGATAATTGATTATATAATAAATGTGAAAAATATATCATCTGTAGTAATTATTTTTTTGCAGTCAGTTATTAAAATACATCCTTTTCAGATTTTGTATATATTGTTTAATCTTGACTCATTATCAAAAAAGTTTCAGACAATTTCGTCCATTTTCAAGTAGTTATTCCTTTTTTAATAATGTTAAATTTTGATTTCAACAGTTGGAATCAACATTTCCAGAGGGAATATAAGAGCAAATTATAAACCATGGATTAATAATGATTCTCAAACTAGGGAGAATGAATGATAGCATTAAAGGGATAAAACAGATATTGTTATTCACAATATTTAACAATAGCATTAAAACAAGATTTATATCTTGGAAAAGGGCTAAATTGCCCAAAATGTTGTTAATTAAAAGTCTGATATTATAACTTAATCTAAAATATCAGATAGAAGTTTGATCTATCGAATATAAGTATAGAATCAACATTGATCTGGAAAAGAAATGAATATAAGAATGACCACTATCAGTAGTTTAAATAACTAAACTCACCCAAGATAAGAGAAATTAGATAACAATTTCTGTTCCAACTATATACTCTGTGACTCTTCCCCCACTTATTCTAACATCTCCCTCTACCAAGGTGACTTGAAGGGTCATTCCTAAAAAATTATCTGATTAATCAGTTTTCGGATTTTTCAGGATGAAGCCGAATATATCTTGAGCTGTGAAATATATTAATTTTCAATACTTGGGAAAATAGAAACCTAAAGTACGACGACCCATCGTTTATTTTCTGTTATCATAATTATACGGCTCAAGGTCAGTCAAACCACTGTAGCTTCTAGAAAATAGACTCATTCGTCTATCTATAAATTTGGCGTTACATTGTGTCAAGTTCGTAGTTATTTTGATTGGGCAACATTGAAGATTAAGCATATAGCATGTAATACTTTTATTGTTGGCCGTCAGTGGCCTAAATACGCTCCATAATGATTAAAAATCTGTAATGATGTAGAGATGGTTGACCGTGATATAATATGAGCAGTTGGTCGGTGGCTGCGGTCAAATAAATACTAAATTTTAAAAAATAGTATTTTTAATTTAAAAATACACCAATTAAAACACTATTTTTTGAAATTTAGTATTTATTTGAACGCACCTTCCGTCTAACTCCTTCTCAGATTAAAAATCTGATTGAAGCTTAATATGAGAGACAGAAATGTTTCTTTTTAATAATCTAGTTAGAACGAAATTTACTTTTAAATCTAGACTTTTTTAAATTTTTAATAATTTTCGAGCCCGGCTTCTGGACAGTCAAAAAATTGTATATATATATATTTTGGCTCAACATATTAAAAAAAAACATGTTCTGTCTCTCTTATATTAAGCTTCAATCAGATTTGTAATCATTGTGGAGCGTATTTAGACCACTGATGGCCAACATTAAAAGTATTACATGCTATATGCTTGATCTTCAGTGTTGCCCAATCAACATAACTATGAACTTGAAACAATGTAACGCCAAATTTATAGATAGATAAATGAATCTATCTCGCGTTTTACGTTTCTGACATCCAGGATCAAATTTGATTCGGTGTCTTTCTGTAGTCAAATCGAAGTAGCGGGCATATCACCTACTACCGTTCATCCAATTTTCATGAAATTTTCAGAGATTATGCAGACTGGTGCTTAGATTGTCCCATATCAATTTTTATCAAATTTCGTCGTTTTGCCGCTTGCTCACGCGTAAATGTGTTTAAATAGATATGCCAATATTTCAGAAATGGCTATTCGATTTGGCTCAAAGTTGAAAAAATTGAGGTTTTGGTAAAATAATGATTTTATATAGATTTTATTGAATTACCTCATCTACTTTATCATATATATGCGCAAACGCGTTTTACTTGATACATGTATATCTCTGAAACTACTAGTTCGATTAGGTTCAAATTTGCAGGGAAATTAGGGATTGGTTAACAGATAATTAATTAAGTATCAATTTTATCCACTACTTTAAAAAAAAAGTCTTCTGCTTTCAGATGAGTACACGTTTTATTTGATACGCCTATAGTTCGAAAACGGCTCGTTCAATTCGACCCAAACTTGGAGCAAATTTGTAGAATAGTTCAGAAATTGTCTAGTACCAATTTCATTTAATTCCATTTGATAATTAAAATTAATGTAAATAACTGCTAATAATATAATGGTTTTGAAATGTGGAAGACATTCATCACATGAAGTAGAGGTTAGATTAATAAAATATATTTAAGTTTTATTCAAAAATTTAATTTACGCTGCATTGTTTGGTCGATTCCAAAGGTTACTGGCATGGCACTTACTGCCTTCATTTTAATTTCAGTAAATTTTAATCATTTTTTACTTCATTTAGTGAATAAAAATATATTATTTGTAATGTTTCTTTCTATTAAAATTCAACTAGCTCGTCGTGGTCTGAATTTCCTCTTTAAACGTCGAAGTTGTATGAACTTCAATCATATTTTTATATTTCAGTTTAAATTAGTTTTGTTCTGACTGAGGGAAAATGTCTCGTTAGCTTTGAACAAACAATTAAATTTTTCCAATGAATTTTTTGTTCTATCCATTTTGCTGGTAAAAACATACCTATAACTATAAACCGCTACTGTTAGTGTAATGTTGTATATAACAATTTTCCATTTTCATTCTATTGGTGCTAAATGTGACATTTCGTAGTATGCAACTGATTATAAGTAGCCTGGTTCCATGGAAAATAGCAGAGCAAAATAAAATATGAAATTACACTAATAAATCATAGAGAAATAATTAGTTTTTATGCTCTCCTATAAAACACTCAATTTTTGAGCTAACAGTAGCGACTTAATTTTTTTTTTTATCACAATTCTTTAAATACGCGATTTGCAAATGTCGAATTCTTTCGCTTTTTAGTATTCGCTGATGAACAAAATCAGTGGATATCAAACCTGCGAATGTTAAGGAATTATTGAATTTCCGAAAATGGTTTCTTTCGGAAATTTTATTTTCCTACGAAAAATGATAGACTTTGAAATATAGATATTGTTCAGCCAATAAAAAGGGTGATGAAGCAATATTTTCGTTACTTGGCAGACTTTTTTTTTTGCGAAACAAAACTTTATCAAGTCATTAATTTTTCTGCGTAAATGAGATCTTAACAATTACTGCATAGGTCAATTACCACAAATATATATATATATATATATACATAAGCGCTTGATAGAACGAAGAATTCTAAAGATTTTGTCTAATTTTCTTTCCTTTTCCAAGTACCATGATTTTAAATTCAGTAGTGTTGCTAGGTTGTTATAATGAACATGTCTGTAGGCCCTGGAATGTTATAGGGCCTACTGGCTTAATTCCGTCACATAGCCTTCAGTTTGGAATGAACTATTACGATATTTGTAAATAATCATTGTTTTTAAGACACCAAACATAAGCAACAGCAAATGGCAGGTTAACGAGAGACTTTGTCTCAACAAATTTCACTTCTTATATTACCTTATTTTTTATTATGCATATTTCATTGGTTTGTGCTTTGATACCGTTATTATTATTTATTTTTTGTTTTCTGTTACTGTTATAATTCTACTAACTTTGTTTTACTTTAATGTTCACTCTATCTACTTTATTTTACGTTAAATTTTTCTATCTAAATTTTTAGTCTATACCTTTCACATTTTTAAATTATAATTCTTTATTATTCAATGTTTATAGCTTCTTATACCTATTGTTGTCTGGTTCTTTTCTCAGCCCTAAACGTCGAAGAATGTAAAAACATATAATTTATTTTTACTGATCACCCCAATCGCCTTTCTCTTCAATTATTCACTACAATCAAGCATCAACTCACAATTATGAGAGCTCAAATAGTTCTTTGGTGAGCCTAATATTGTGGAATTAATCAAAGAAGGAAGGTTTCGATGGCTGGACATTCAAAGGATGCCAGATGAAAGGCTACTAAAAAAGATTATGGATAGCAGATCAGGCAAAAGACTGGCAGAAAGGCCTAGGCTAAAGTGGTTGGAAGACGTGAAGGAGATTTGAGATGGATGGCAATAAGAGGATGGCGAAGGAAAGTAGAGATAGAAAGGAATGGCTATCAATTTTAAGTAAGGCTAAAGTCCAACTAGGGCTGTAGCGCCATTAAGTTAGTTAGTTTGGGTAGTAAACGGTAAGAGTGGTGGAGTAGGAGCAATGTGGAAGAGTGGGGGCAGTATTTACTTACTGATAAAATGCACTTCTATTCAATGAAAATAAAAAGATCAAAATGATCTTTTGCATTACAACTTTTGTTTACACCAACTATCTCCATTGTGTCCAATTTTATTAGTATATTTTAAATAACAAATTATTATTACTAATTTAACATAATATAAGTATATCTGGTCATGTTTAATAAAAATTGTTAGTTATATAATTTAAAGTATCAGGACCTTATAAATATATATAAATAAATAGGTTCTCATGTATTGGTAATGTAACTTAGAAACTCATTTTTTTCAAGTCCTCTAATATTCCACAGTTTTTTTTCCAGTTTTGTTTAATGGCTTGCAATTCAGATGATTTCTTTATTACTTCTAATTTCTTAATATATATACTTTGTTTAATTTCTTCAATTTTTTTCAGTTTTAATTCTATAACAGATTCTACAGCAGCTTTTTGTTTTAATTTCAAATCATTTAATGCCATTTTACTATAAGTCAGCCGAGAAGTATCCTTCCTAAAAAATAAAAATAACATTGGCATTAAAACCCTTTAATTTAAAGGTGGCCTAATAATAATGTTAGAATTATAATCTTAAGTAAAATATTTTTTTTTTTTTTTTATTATTTTAATGGAATTTACAACTGTATTACATAGAGAATACAATAAGTAAATGAGAAATTTGTAACATGGCATGTACAACATGAAGAGAAACTACCCATTGGTAGAACTCAAATTAAAGTTCTATATTAGAAGATCCCGAGGCCATCTTCTTTTCAGACGCCTCGGAGGGTTATCAGGGATCGAGGAGGAAGCAAGGGTTGAGAGGATTCGGATGATTCTGCAGTTTGTTATGGAAGGAAAGGTATCTGGATTGGGCCAGATCGGAAACATATGGAACATTAAGATCTTTATGGATGATTTTATTTGTGACAAAGTAAGGAGCGTTGAGGATTTTACGAAGGATTTTGGATTGTAAGGATTGGATACGAGAGGAATTCGATGGTTTAGTGGAGCCCCAAAGCTCAATTCCGTAAGTCCAAATAGGTCTTATTATTGTCATATATACGAGTCGTTTATAATTGATTGAAAGCTTAGATCGTTTGTCTAGTAAGTGCTGCAGTAGTCGAAAACGTCGGGCGGTTTCTAGTCGTTTCAGTCTGGTATGGGGGTTCCAAGTGAGTCGTTTGTCAAGGTGGAGTCCTAAGTAGCGGATTTGCTCAACAGGAATAAGTGGAGTATTATTGAAGGATACTGTAGGACAAGAGGTCATAGGTTTACGACGGAGGGTAAAAGTGATTTGATGGGATTTGTTGGAATTTATTTTTATTCTCCAATTTTTACACCATTCTTCAAGGCTTGTGATATGTGATTGAAGAGTTTGGGATGCAATTAAAGGATCGTTATTAACTGATAGGATACACGTGTCATCGGCATAGGTGGTGATGACAGTGTTGGATTGGGTTGGGATGTCAGCTGTAAAAACTGTGTAAAGGATAGGACCTAGGATACTACCTTGAGGAACACCGGCAGACTGAGTAAAAAGAGATGAATAAGCATTGTTATGATTGACTTTGAAGTATCTGTCAGTAAGGTAGGAAAAGTAAAATATAAGTTTACATATTTATTCCATGGAATAAATAAGAAACAATTTAAATTTGTAATTATGTCAAACAGGCTAGGAACTGAATAAAAATATATGATAGATGAAAATAATCAAAAGATTCAAATGATTACTTTCATTAAATAATCCAATAAATTAATAATTAAGACCAATCATTGTCAAAATGTCAACAAGCTTTAATAAATTCATAATTATAATATTACATAAAAGGACAGCCTGTTTTCATTTCTAAATGCTAACTGTGAAAACTACACAACCAGTCTTTACTAAATTTCTATTACATCATCTTAGATACAATGTCATCTTATGTAGTGAGCTGTGAGCAGAAACCATAAACATTATTCAATCTGTAAGCAACCACGCTAAGACAGCTTTTCATAAATTTGTTCGGAGTAACAAATAAAGAAATGGAACAAACCTCTCATATTATACTAGAGTTAGATCATTCACCATTAGTAACCATCATAAACGGATCCAGGGTGGCTACCAGACTGTTAGAGTAACATTCCCTGATTATGCCCTAACTTTTCCATATTTAATGAAAGTTTTTCCTGACAAATAAGTCAGGAGTCAAATGTTAAACATGTATAGTTTATAACTAAATATATTTAGTATACATGAGTGAAAGTTCAAGGATTGGAGTAAATAAAAAGTCTGTCTTTTTTATTTATTTTAATTTTTAATTTTCATAAACCGAGAGGAGGTAAAAGTTGAAACTTGCTGCTGTTCTCTATTATAAAATAAAGTGAGCTACAGGCATTTCATATTTTAATAAAGTACCATACAAGAAATTTAATTTCTCTTTATTGCCACAGAGTAATAATTATCCATACGATACCAACTGAGAGGGAGAGGGTTGCCCAGAGGGGGTAAAATCGAGTTTTTGAAACAATGCTACTTATCGAATATTGGATACCTCTAAATTAGATTTATAGTTGCTACAAAGTTCAGAACTGAATAAAAAAAAATATTGAAACTAGCATAAACCACGCCCAATGGCATCAGCATACTGTAAAGTACATCTTTATTGGA